TGGATACTACTGTATCTTATACCGAACTGACCTTTCGCATGTTTAAAGCGTCCATACATAATACTAAGCCAGTACAGTCACCTCTTCTGGGGGAATGGGATTGTTAGTAATATGAACTCGTGACACCATTGCTAGCAATGTGTCATGTCTGATTATCTTCCTCGTTGTTCCCTCTGGAAACCATCGTGGTAAATTCCTGGCGAATTTGCCACTATGGCCTAACGGATCTGACCTCATAGGTCACTGTATCATCCTCCTAATGCCTCTTCCGTTGTCGTAGGCAGGTGTACCATTCCATTATCATCAATAAAAAAGTGGCCTCTTCTTCCTTTTTGGAAATATACCGACTGACCTATTCATCATTCGGTCGCACTGCGATAACAATCCGAACAAGTCCCATAAATACCTGTCGTTCTAGTGACGCACGTGCGACAGTTTCCTGCAAATATATCTGTTTGCGGTACAGTTTTGGACGATGCCCAAGAAACGACTGTTTTCTTCTCTCTACAACTGTTCATCGTTACTATAAATTGAAGTGTAAGTCAGAATTGTCGGATGAATAAATTGGAAACGGTAACAGTTTCTTTATAACTGATTTCTAAAATTGATTATGTTGTAAACAAAATAATAAACTTGTTTGTACTATCGTTTTGTTCTTATGAAAATAAAACGAATATTTTGTTCTATTATAAAGTAAGTGCATTTTCCCCCAATGATTCACTTAAGAATGATATATTTAATATTAGAGAGTTCTATGTCCTTTTTTTAAAAGTAATATAATACAATGCAGCAAAGAAATAGAAATAGAAATAATCTTTATTCAAATAAACTCATTACAAGCACTTTTGAATAGTCATATTTTGATTCTACCACTCATTCGGAATGCAGATTCATCACAAGAAAAATGAGCAAGAAACTTGTGTGTTGCTCTTTTTAATAGATGTTTTTTTATAAATAATTATAGTATAACAAGTAAGAGGCATGCAATAATCAACATAGAAATCGCTACGCACTAATTATTAGTGTAATCAGATAATATTGTCAGTGCTATGGATTTTAAGTTTTTATATAAAAACATTATTATCGTTAACGAATTCTACCATTTTATAATAAGATTAGTAAGCGAGTGCATACTCTAATAAGTATAATATCTAACGTCGTAGATAATACTTTTATATGCATATTATGGTAGTTAAAAGATGTTGATTCGAAATGATAAACAGGCACTTCAATTTTATTTAAGTATCTGTAGAAATTTTTATTTGTATTTTTTTAGCAATTGAGTATCTCTATTTATATAGATTATTTATTTTCAACCGACAGCAATTAACAGAAATTTTGTAGGTTTAATAGTAAAATAGTTTTGTGCATATGGAGTAAAACGCTACACACGTTTTTATAAACCATTTTTTTTGGAGGATATAAAATTGCAATATTTTTCGTATTCATCGTGTGAATTGTATAAAATAGTACCTAACTATTTATAAGACCGAAATTCAGTTTCGTTTGGTTTCGATCTAGTTACGGTTAAAAAACGAGTTTCAGCTTAGTTTTGGTTTCGGTTTTAATATACTTACCTTGATGTGTATATTTGTATAAATTCACTATTTGTTACTGTACTCTCGTTAATTAATTCATATTCTTTGTCAATTTTATAATGTGTTGTTGCTTTTATATGTAGTTATGTCATTTTTTTTTAGAATTAGTCTGTTGTACCAAGAACAGGCTTTATGTTGTTTATATTGATTAAGTATAGTCAGCCTTGATTTTCCTTTAATAAATAAATGAATAAAATAAACTACGCAAGGACCCGGAACTGTACTGTATTTACAATACATAGCTATGAGGATGTATTGTTCTTATCTTTTTGACAAATAAAATCAGCACAAATACATAATAACTGTAATGCAAACAATTCTGGCAACATTACGTCCTTTAAATCTTTACGGATGGCAAGAAACTCATCGGAATAATAACAACTGAATGACTGCAATGAAAGACCACAATCTAGTTACGACCAAAAAACGGGTTTAGGCTTAGTTTTCGTTTCGACTGCAATGTACCTTAAACTATTGCAGAACCCGGATCTATACTGCCTTAAAAATAAAAAGGTTATAATTTTATATTTATCTTATCTAAATTTAAACAAATAATATTAGCACAAATACATAATAACAGAAACGTAAACAATTACAATTATGGCAACATTGCGTCCGTTAAATCTTTACGGATGGCAAGAAACTCATCGGAATAATAACAACTGAATGGCTGCAATGAAAGACCATTAGTGGAATGCGCCTGTGGGCAATGACTCAGTTGTAAAAACGAACCGACGGTTTTGTTTTATTATTAATCGATGTTTGTACAGAGTACAGACAGCTGTACGCGTATTCTGACTGCATATTTCAATTTAATAAAATTTTTGATTGATGTCTCTGCCTATACTAATCTTATAATTGCGAGAGGGTTTCTGTTTGTACACTTTATACTAATATATATTATCCTAAATTCTTTAACTATAGAACTATCTACCAATGGATTGCTTTCAGCAATACGGCCGCCTTACTGTAACGATACATGTGTCCTTTGATATATTTTTTGTGCCTCTTATTTACTGTATGTTGCAAATAAAGTACGAATATATTCTATCTATCTATCTATATAATTACCGGTAAAATTTTAAATTATCTATTTGTATTTGATAAAATAATAATTAGAGAAGCACGAAGCTTATTAAACGCTTCCCATTCAAATTTGACGATATTCGACTTTGTACAAAATCGTCTGCATGTATAAATCTTTCTCCGTTTCTGGGACCGAGCAGCTTGCTTAAGAAGCTGTGTTTTAATTAAGAGGCGAGATAAAACAGTTAAAAAATAAAGTTAGGAGGTTTTATATCTTAGTTCTCCAGATTGTGAATGTATGAGCAAGGGTAATCTCTTTCTACGCAGTAAGCCAGTGCTAAGGGGAGCTGGTCCGATTCCCAGACGCTTCATGAACGTATGAGCACACATTAATTCTTGTTGTGGTGAGTCTGCGTTCCGAATGAGTGGTAGAATAAAAAAATATTACTATTCAGAAGTGCTTACATTAATTTTATTTGAATAAAGATTATTTATATATCTATTTCTAAGAATAACAGCGGACGTCGCAGTTATGATAACGTACTGTTCCTGTTGCTTTTCATAGATAACTGTTACCACTTACCATCGTGTGAGTTATTGTTATTGTTTTTCTTTTCTAATAAAAATTCATTAATTTATTCGTGTAGGACATTTTAGCCGCTTATGAATGTCAAAATAAAAAAAATAGTACATTTAAGCTGGCACGTAATCTCTTTATATAAATTTTTGCTTAAAGGTAAAATTATCCCTTTATGCATAAAAAAATTCGTCAAGAAAATAAATAGAAAGAGCAATATAATTAATAATGTTCTTTTTGCAGTTGTTTTAAAATTTAATACCTAGAATACGTAAGGTAATAGGTAAAAGATAGGTACTTTACGTCTATCTAATGACGAAACCACAAAAAAAACTAATTTATGACTGTACACATGAAATGACATGCATAAATGAATAATTAATTAACAGATTAACTAAATACTATTACGCTATTACTGATAGTAATTATTATTTAACTACAATTTCAATGTAAATGATAATTAACTGGTGTATATAGTAGTTTAAAATGTATTTCCAATTTTATTTTTTTCCCATTTTCCTGAGTGCTATAGGATATAGCTGTACCATCTACAGCGAATTAAAATCTGGGATACTCCAATATCTCGGTAAGTTGCATTGTCTATGCCCAAAAGTAACAACTCCGTCTTGAATTTGGGGTAAATTAGGCTCTACAGATACTAATAAGTTAACTTTCTCCATCTTAAATTTCCCTCTCATTCCCCTTCTTTCTATTCTAAATCCTTTTCTGTCCAGGCTGTTAGGTTGTGGAACTCACTCCTCTCTTGCATTCGGAGCTTGAATTGCTCTTGCCAACTTCAAAGCCTCTGTCAAATCCCATTTTCTTTCCCTTTCAATTTTCTTTTTCTTTTAACTAATGGTCCCTTCCTCCTTTATTCCAAATGTATACAGTGCACTATTAAGTATATGTATGTGTATGTATATCTGAGTCATATATATTTATATTTGTTTATTACGTGCGTCTACCTTTTCATATTTTTATTTCTCTATCCACCCAAAGGAAGATAGTCTGGAAGAGATTGCTTAGCAATAAGACGCCCTTTTGTATCAGTCAAAGTATATTTTCTATTTTAATTTTTTTGTTTTCTTTTTGTTCTGTAATTTTTGTATTGTGGTGCAGTAAAGAGTATGAATAAATAAAAATGAGTAATATAAGGTCTATTATTTAAGAATGATAATCGAATTGTGCACCTAAAGGTTTACGCTTACGGGGCACCAGCGAATGATGATAAGATGAGTGTCGAGTCAGATCAGATCCCCGACATGGGAATTGACCAGGAATTAAATGGTACAATATTAGCAAAGAGACCATTAGGGGCTTGTTAGTAATGTGGATTAAGAACCCCATTGCTAGCAAAGTACAATATCAGTTGAGCACCACGCTGTTCACCCGGAAAATGGTGATAAATTCTTGGAGAATATGTCACGATAGGCTATTTGACCTCATTCTCATCTTATCACCCTCCACTGGTGCACCGCCACCGTACATCGTTAACACAATCAGGTGCGCAATTCCATTATCATAAAAATTGGACTATTACTAATATTTCTAGACTATTCTATTCTATTTAAAACTTGAATTATTTTATATATATAATATAATTGTTAGATGACACATGTACCTATATTGCTTATTAGACATGACAAATATGTAGAACTTATATAAATATTAAAACATCGCTGTAAAGAACATTTAAGCAATAATTTTCATTTCATTGAAATATCTCATTTCAGTATAAAACAATAGAGGTAAATATATAAGATCTTGAACTTTATATTTCTTATTTCTAGATTGTAAAGATGGAGACAGCTTCAGCAATGGCGGGTCTACGTACCACGCAAGCAGCACTGCAGGTCCTGGCTACCCTGCATCTCACTGAGTACTTATTTCCACCCCACGTTCATATACATGGTTTGTAGAATCTTATATGTATTTATACATTAGACGACGACCCCGCGGTCTAATGGTTTAGCAAAATGGTAATACTCGAACAGATATACACACTTTCGCACTTTAGTATTAAGTGTGGATGAATCTATAATAGTTACGTATATAGACTATTTTTTTTACAAATATATAAAAAAAAAGTTCTATATTTTTTTCTAACACTACCGTACATAGCAAAATTATAATTATAATAGCAAGTTTGAGGTTATAAATATTTTAAATTCAAAATTTTTTTTGTTCATGTAGGTCTAACAGCAATACACAAGTTTCTTGCTCATTCTTCTTGTGATGAGTCTGCGTTCCGAATGAATGGTAAAATAAAAAAGTATAACTATTCAAAACTGCATATATTAACTTTATGTGAATACAGATTATTTTTATTTCTATTAGTGATATATCTAATAAGTCAAATCTACCTTTAGTACGGATTGTAGATACAAGTCAAGTAAAATGGATAAACAACTTGGCTCTTACTTTGTTCAGTAAGATTGATTGATGATTATAAAAATACAAATTCGTGTTTAAATCAATTTGAAAACCTACATTTTATATAATTACATTTTTGTAAAAAAAAAATTAAATCAGCAGTTGTAACTCATCCTTAAATAATTTCAGATGGAGATAGTTACGATTATGTAATAGTGGGAGCAGGATCTGCAGGCAGCGTGCTGGCCAACAGACTGACAGAGGACCCTAATGTAACTGTACTGCTCGTCGAAGCAGGAGGAGACCCTCCTATAGAATCTTTCGTAAGTCAAGTTTTATATTAAATAAAAACCTGGTAAGAGATAATTTATATGCACATAAATTTATTATAAGTACTTTTCAACAGCACAAGAATGATGATTAAGAAAGAAAGCCTGTTGCTTTTTAAACAAATGCAGTTCAACATTACATTTTTAAAGTTTTATGTGAACACAAATTATCAAAAGACACCAAGAGTAAAACATTAAATTATTCTACTTGAATAACGAAGCAAAGCAGTCATAGTTATTAGTGCAGACCATTTCATAAAAGCAGTAATTTATGTTCAAACATAATAATAATATAAATAAACACGTTCATGCTAATTTGTAAAACCACGCAGATCAAATGACAATTTATGAAACAAATATCTTTAAAGTAAATGTTAAATTACCTTAATATAAATGTAGGTCATCACTATAATTCCATAATAAAAAAAATGTTTCAGAATCCGGCATTAAATCCATATTTAAAGGAGAGTAAAGTAGACTGGAATTATAAATCTGTCAACGATGGATACTCACAACAATGCCACAAGCATCATGTAATCGATATGACCCGTGGTAAAATGCTTGGAGGATGCAGCAGTGACAACAACATGTATTATGTAAGAGGTGACCCCCACGACTACAACTCCTGGGCCGATATTGTCAAAGACAAATCTTGGAACTACGAGAATATCCTTCCTTATTTTATAAAGAGCGAAAACTTACTAGATCCCGCCGTTCTTAATTCATCTAACGGAATATTTCATGGTACTGGAGGTTACTTAGGTGTTACAAGGCCGTCATCGAAGGGTACCATTAAATATTTAGAAGCTTTCCGAGAATTGGGTCACAAAATTGTTTTGGATACAAATGGAAATTTTACGTTAGGTTATACTCAACCGATGTTCACTATAGCTAATGGCATTCGATCCAGTACAGCATACTCATTTTTAGGTCCAATTAAGAGCCGGGAGAATTTATATGTATCTAAAAACACTTTGGCTATAAAAATATTAATTAAGGATTTGAGCACTGTTGGAATTGAAGCTATAAATGAGAACGGTAAAAAAGTAAAAGTAAAAGCAAACAAGGAGGTTATTTTATCGGCTGGTAGTATTAATTCTCCACAGCTACTTATGCTGTCAGGTATAGGACCTAAAAAGCATTTAATGGATAAGAAAATAGATGTTAAAGTTGATCTACCCGTTGGAGAAAATCTACAGGATCACGCGCCGGTTACGTTAGTTTATAAAACAGAGAAGATACATAAACAATCACGATTCAACGATGAAACTCATGATACAATTGGTTACGTAGCTATAAATAAGACTCAGTTATATCCAGACTATCAAGCAGTTAGTATAATACTCAAAGGAGATCCATTTCTTATATATTGTGCATTCACCTGTGCTTTAGAAAATGAAATTTGTCAAAAATTCTACGAAGACAGTAAGGGAAAAGAGAAATTAGTCGTCATGTGCAGTGATCTTCATCCGAAATCTCGAGGACGTATATTATTGCGGAGTTCAGACCCAAAAGAGTACCCTTTAATATACGCTGGACATTACTCTAACAATATAGACTTAGAAAATTCTGTCAAGTACGTAAAAGACTTCAACCAAATACTGAATGCAACGTACTTTAAAAGCGTAAACGCTTCATTACTGGTTACTCCAAAATGCTCTGCTCATGAACCAGGAAGTGATGATTTTTGGCGTTGTCACGTGCTTTGTACCGAATCAACTATTTATCACTATGTTGGCACTTGTGCGATGGGTGCAGTGGTTGATTCCCGACTTCGTGTTTATGGAGTGAAGAGGTTAAGGGTGGTAGATGGTAGTGTTATGCCTAACGTCACCAGAGGTAACACTAATGCACCGATAATTATGATTGCTGAGAAAGCTGCAGATATGATTAAAGAAGATAATGCTAAATGATTTCTAACGATGTTGTCATTACATATAGCTATAATTAAGTATTCTTATATTTATTATAATATGACTGTTGACCATCGCCAGTATATATGACCCACACAACACACCCGAAAATCCGTCCTCAGATGACGCTCCTCGTATCTCTCAAGTGTTGTCATTTCGGAGGACTAAGATATCATGGCTCAGTATCTTGTAATTTAATTGCCTTAACTCACCTTTCAACCGAAACAAATCTTCAATCTCACAAAGCAAGCTTGGCGTCTAAAAAAGATGAAACATCGTTACCCTCGTTGCGTGGGTAACGATTTTGTATAAATTATATCTTGGAAACTCTGGACACAGAGCTAAGCAGTGATCGTTTTGGAAGCATGTATAAAATACATGCACAAATTCATAATAATTCTTTTTAAATTTTTTGTTAATGTGTATTATATGAACTGTTCATGATATGCGTCGAATAAAAGTTTTCTTTTTACTGAATGAAATTAATTTATTAACCGTTAGATGTCCATGTAAAAGAATTATTGCCCTTTCTTTATTAGTTGGTTCTATCTTTTTTTGTTACTTTTGTTTTATTTTTATGTCATAAATTTTGATGTAGCTTTAAATATTTCGTTTTTCAATTTATATGTGATACTGAAAGCAACATAATTCCCTGGAGCTTGCTCTCAGTTTCCAGTTTAATGTCACACAAATTTCAAATTTACTGACACTTCACAAATCCTAGCTTGATTACTCCACCTGTTGCTTACCAAAACTACAGTTGAATTAGTCATTATTTAACTATAAATATTAATAACTAACTGACCCTGCAGCGTCTTCCCTTAGAAAATTAAGTTAAAATAAAATAAAATACATCCATATACATAAATAAATAAAACAACTATCAAATTTATGAAACGAAATTCATCATTAATACAAATTATTTTAAAATTTGACCGTGTGTGATAATAAACAACCATAGAAGAGCGGGTTCTCCTATTCAAAGTATTTAATTATTAACAAGGGCTGGGAGTCCGGGCTTTTAAAATAATGTAAAATGTATAATTAATTAAAGTTAGTATCATTATCAGGGAAAAAGTCTATAACTTATCAATATTCTGCCCGATTCTGTTTATTTTCACTAAGAACCATCTGTAAAATATTTGACTTAAGATTTTTAGTGTAGTGTAAATATAAATATATTATATTATTATGTATTGCATGTATTATAATAGGTATAAGACCTATTTACCTATGTTAGGTAAAATTATAGGTTATTCCTTTTCCACCACTGCCCATCAACCGCTTTCTATTCTTACCTAATGGTTAGCTGGTATAGAATGCCATATGGCATTAAGCTCGCCAAATTGTACAATTTTTAAGTGCAATAAGATGAAATCGGTTAAGTCCTTCTCAAGTTATGTCTTGATTAAAGTTTCAATGACTTCATTAAGTGTATATGTTAGCTCGCCTCTTGTCATGTTGGAATCTAATATATACAGGGCAGTGTCATAATATCGACAGTAAACAATGCATCTGCCTTTAATAAAATAAATAATAGTCGTGATTGTATAATATTTTTAATTTATTTATTGCAATATTACAACACCATATCAGAATATCCAAATTGAATTGGAACTTAGTACAGTATAAATATATATTAATTTATTACACAACGTATTTTATAAAACAACTAGCTACTCACCCCGGCTTCGCACGGGTGTAGGTACATGTATTATACACCTTCCTCTTGAGTCACTCTATTTATTAAAAAAAAACCGGTTCAAAATCATAATCATACAAATACTTAGATGTTTTTTTGTTAATACATACATAATATACATAGATTGTCCTGAATTATTATAATTATTTATAAAAAAATCTGCGTTCAAATTTAAGAGGATTGAAAGAATTTTAAACATTTTCTGTAGATGATCCTTCCCTTGAGCTCTCTTTAATTTCATTGGCGTTAAACATAAATTCTTCGAACAAAATGCTTTAATTCAACGGACAGGAATCATAATTAACCTCTTCTAAGAGAATTACATCAATCTTTGTACTAATTGGATCTCGTTTAGAAAACAAATAATGAGAGGCATTTGGCTCCACTAATTTGATGATTGATCTTTAGAAATATTAAATTAATAATACATTCGAATGCTCAATCATTGAAGAGATTGTCTAATACTATTATTTATTTAATTAATGATCTAACTAATATACGATATAATACTTTCATATTTTCTAAAGATTTATTTTATTATATTACTGAAATGGTAAAGATGTTCTTGCCTTCTTGATGGTGAACAGTACAATAGCCATTTCGTCTTCATATGACGCCCATGGTATCCTTCACATTTCTATTCTACATTATGTTATTCCGGGAGAGTATGTCAGACCTACGTATACTGTAATTTCACATATCTTCCCTTCCACCGAAAACAGCTGCTTGGCGGCAAAAATAGGTGAGAAAGAGGTGCAGACTTTGCATACCTTGGATATCTTACGTTACTTTATTTATTAGAGTAGGCAGAATAGAATAGAATAGAAAATTATTTATTCAAATATACTTATATTGAAGCACTTTTGAATAATCATCACATTTTTTTTAATTTACCGCTCATTCGGAAAGTTGTCTCATTACAAGAAGAACGAGCAAGAAACTTGCGTGTTGCTCTTTTAAATAATTTTATTGTTACTTTACATTTTAAGTTTAAGTGTGTGAATATAAACTACCAATTAGCACTAATTCAATTAAATACTCAAATAGAAAAAATATTGAATATACAACGAACTGTTTAAATAACTAAATAAGAGGAAATCAGTGCTAGTGATTAGTACAGCAGGGAGAAAAACTTCCAACCATAGATTTTTTTTTTATAACACAGGGGACAAACGACCATGCGGCTCACCTGATGGTAAGTGATTACCGCCGCCCATGAGCACCCGCAACACCAGGGGAATTGCAAGTACGTTGTCGGCCTTTTAAAAAGGAATAAGCTCTTTTCTTGAAGGTTTCAATATCGTATCGGTTCGGAAATACCATTGCTGGAAGGTGATTCCATAATGTGGTTGTGCGAGGCAAAAAGTTTCTAGAAAACCGTACTGTGGAAAACCGCCATTCATCCAGATGATCAGGATGGTATATAAGTTTCTAACCGGTGGTACGGTGGTGAAACTCAGCAGCTGGTATTAATCCGAACAATTCCTCAGAACACTCCCCGTGATATATGCGGTAGAAAATGCACAGAGATGCAATATCACGCCGCAAAGCCAATGGGTCGAGTCTGTCACATAGACGTTGATTACCAATGATTCTGGCTGCTCGGTTCTGAATGCGAATGCTGAATGCCATAGATAGATACAACTAATACTTTATTCTTATGTATGTACATATGCTCTGTGCGTGTTATATATAGTCTGTCACATTATTTATTAGACGCTAAATGGTTCGGTATACAAAAATATATAATAACATTTTTTTCGTACATTTTTTTAAAATTTTATTTGTGCATTAAAAATTACATGCAACCCTACCTTACCATCTTTCTATCACCAATGCCGATTTTTTATAGCGATTTTAATTTATATGGCAAAACAATATTTGTGGTATTATACAAAAAACTATTACGAAAAATTACTATCGGAACAGAAGAAACTATATATGATACTCACAATACAGTGGGAATTCAAAATGAAATGCCGCTAGCAAAGTCATTTGTTTCAGACGATTATACTTGTGACGGCTCCAATGGATATTCCCAAGTTTTGTTTCGCAGAATTTTCGGCGAAACAAGATCGCATTTATTAAAGTAAAATGAGAGAGAATTTATTAAAGAAATTTATAATTTTTGTTGATCTAAATTTCTAATTAATGTATCTCTTTGCATCCGTTTTGTAGATTTTATGGAATAATTCAAATGCGGTATAGAAGAGTGGCTATATTCAGTATCATAGTCATAAATATATATATATATATATATATATATATACTTAAATTATAAATGCATAAATAAGATAAATCTTATATATAAAATTCTCGTGTCACAGTTTTCGTTCCCATACTCCTCCGAAACGGCTTGACGATTCTCATGAAATTTTGTGAGCGTATTGAGTAGGTCTGAGAATCGGCCAGCATCTATTTTTCATCCCCCTAAATGTTAGTAGTCCACCCCTAAATTTTTTTTTTATTTTAAGGCAAAACAACGTTTGCCGGGACAGCTAGTTATATATACATATATATATACTAGCTGTACCCGCGACTTCGTCCGCATGGAATTATACTTCATTTTTCTAAAATGAAATAATGCTTCTAAAATAAAAGTAGTCTAAGTTTATACACATTACATTAGGTACCTGCCAAAAAAAGTCCCTTAAATCGGTTCAGCCAATTCAGAGATTAGCCGGAACAAACAGAACAACAGACAGACAGACAAAAATTTTAAAAAGTGTTTTTTTGGTGTATGTTCCGTATTTATATTCATATGCATGCAGTAAAAACCGGTTATTTCAATATTACAAACTGACACTCCTCTAGATAGTTGTCTAGTACACACAACACAAACTGTGCTTACCGCGGGACTCCATAGCGTTGTGTTAATTGTCCAGGGTTATTTATTTACTATACTTTTATTAAAATTAATAATCACTTTACTTATTGAAAATAATTACAAATAACTATTCCCAAGTATATATCCAATTAGTTTTAATTTCATTAAACAACAAAATGCAAGAAAGCGTACAATCAAAATGTATAATTTCAATGCGGAGCAGTAAACATTAAAATTAACATCCCCAACCCCCGGGGGTGTAAACGTACCAGTATAAATACTTAATTATAATTTTCTGCTACTAAAACCTTTGAAGATACAAAGACAATGACGGAGATTATTCAAAAGGTGAGGGCTCACTGTCAGCGTTTACTAAATAAAAAGTAATATTTAGTTTAAATTGTAATTTAATTACACTAACATAGCAATTCATACATCACTGTTATACGTTATTTGTGGTTTATTTATGAC